GACCAGGCTGGGGCTGTATCTGTCTCTCTCCCTGTCTTCACCACCCCTCTCTGGGTCTGGTCTCACTCTTCTGCTCATAATCAGGCACGGCCCAACCCCATCCCCCTTCCCAACACCCCCTAGCATCCTCTCTGCACAGGGATCCCCATGTCATTTCTAGCCAGAATCAGTTTTGAACCCCAGGGCCCCTCAGAGGAGGACACCATGGCTCTGGGGTGCTGAAGGCGGCTGACCCTGCCATGGCCCTCTCCTCTGCTGCCATTCACCAATTACCAGGCAGGTCTGGCCCCACTCCAACAGGAGGAGTCTCCTGCCAGGGAAAGGCTGAATCATGCAGTCCTGCCCTCCATGTTTCCCTCAGACTACAAAAGAAAAGAAGACTAGAAGTCAGGAGATTTGGTTCCAGGGTCTGTCCTGTCACAATTCGGGCGAGACGCTGGGCTGATCCCTGACCCTCTTGGGGCCTCAGTGCATCCCAATTTGTCCAAAGGAGGGATTGGACTGGACTGGTGGTTCCTAGAGTATAGTGCCCCTACCACTAATGGAAGCAAAAAGGATTTTAGGTGGTACCCTGATATTTACAATCTTAATAGTTACGTACATTTCAAATGTGAATTGGAAAAGAGGTATAATAAACACACTTGTGATCTCAGGTATATTACTGCTTAAGGAGAGGCTAAAGTGGACATTTCACTGGCAAAATTTAAAGAAAATACGTATAGGTGGTGCATGGATTCATTCATTCCATGAGTATTTATTGTACACCAACTAAGGGCCAGGTACTGTTCACAGGCGTGAAGGGAAACAGATTAAAACCTCTGCTTGCATTCCAGTAAGGGAACAAGACAGTAAATACACAAGTAAGTCAGATGGTAAATGCTATAAAAAATAAAGCAGGGACTGGGGGTATACGGACTGTAAGGGGTGAGGAGTGATTTGCAAAGGTAGACATGATAACCAAAGGTAGATATGATAACCAAAGGTAGATATGATAACCAAAGCCATCCTCACTGAGAGGGCGCATCTGAGCAAAGAATGTAAGAAGGTGAGAGAGTGAGGCATATGCTTGTCTAGGGCAACAATGCAGGCAGAGGGAACAGCGAATGTTAAGGTCCTGAGGCAGGCTCATACCTGGCAGGTTTAAGAATGATACACATAATATGGAGGTAAGACCTGAATAAGAAAAGCATGGGCTGGGCGCAGTGGCTCACGTCTATAATCCCAGCACTTTTGGAGGGCTGAGGCGGGCAGATCACTTGAGGTCAGGAGTTCAAGACCCGCCTGTCCAACATGGTGAAACTCCATCTCTACTAAAAATATTCGCCAGGCATGGTAGCGCATGCATGTAATCCCAGTTACTTGAGGGGCTGAGGCAAGAGAATCACTTCAACCCAGGAGGCGCAGGTCGCAGTGAGCCAAGATTGCACCACTGCACTCCAGCCTGGGTGACAGAGCAAGACTCTGTCTAAAACCAACCAACCAACCAACAAACAAACAAATGTGTTCTCTAATGGCCCTTCTCCTTCTGAGCTCTGCGTTGCAACCCTTTCCATACACACACATACACCTGCAACATACACGCATTCTCAGTAGCCTCTTAACGCTGGAGAGGCTCCAGCCGGCAGCAGCACATCCTCCTCTGCACGTATGCCCACACACAGAGGTGCTGCTTGCTTCAAGCCTGTGCTACACACAGCAGAGCGTGCCCAGGCACACATGCACACCCACAGAGGGGGCAGGACATACACACAAATATGTGCACACTGAGCACCCATAGGTACACGGGACTCATGTGGAAGGCTGGTATGGATGGACGGGCATCAGGTACACACCTTGTGGGACATACGTGTTTCCTTCCTGCCAGCCTGCCCTGTCTTCAAGTAACCGGGTTAGCAGACAATTCTTGCCTTGAGGGCACATGCTCCTGGAGAACGGACAATGCACTGATGGTATGGTTTCAAATTCACTTCTCCAGTATCTCTGCGCCTCACTCATAGTCTCCCTTTTCCAAGGGTACATTAAAATCTGCCACTTGATGCTCAAATGAGCCAGAGGATCATGTGGCTGTGGAGAGTGTCCGTGTGTGTGTGTGTGTGTGTTTTAAGACAGAGTCTCACTCTGTCACCCAGGCTGGCAGGCGGGAGTGCAGTGATGCGTTTACAGCTCATGGCAGTGACCTTCCAGGGACAAGGGATCCTCCTGCCTCAGCCTCCCAAGTAGCTGGGACTACAGGCATGCGCCATCACACCCGGCTAATTTTAAAAATTTTTGTGTACAGACGAGGTCTCACTTTGTTGCCCAGGCTGGTCTCAGACTTCTGGGCTTAAGCAATTCTCCCACCTTGGTCTCTCAAAGTGTTGGGATTACAAGCATAAGCCACTGTGCCCAGTCGAATGTCCCTTTTTCTATCCTTATTGCCATTAAATGGGATAAGCCATGTGAAATGCCTACCACAGCATCGTACACCTTAGCACCACCACCAGCATCCTCATGTGTCACCGAAGTCATCTCCACCTTCATTTGTCTAGGGTACTTTGGGGCAACTGAAGAGTAGAGGGAAAGAATCAGGCCAGGAGCTGGAGATCTGGGTTTTAGCCTCAACCTGGTCTCCAATTCAATGTGAGGCCTCTGGCAAGTTCCTTCCTTTCTCTGGTCCAGATCAGAAACTTGTAGGTGCTTCAGAATCCCTCAGGGAATGTGGTCAAGATGCAGATTCCTGGGCTCTACCTTAGACCTGTGAGACCACACAATATGCACCTTAACAGGCTCCCGAAGGGGTTCTGTGCACAGCCAGGCTGGGGACCCACTGAGCTTTAGAGTCCATGATCTTATAACTAAGTGTGTAAGTTAGTTAACACAAGAAAATGTCTGGAATACAGACTTGCACACAGTAAGGCTCCATAATGTTAATTAAAAATTTAATAAAATATATTTTTATAATTGTCTTTTTAAAAAATTCTTATTTTAATAGAGGTGTGTTTTCACTATGTTTCCCAGGCTGGTCTTGAACTCCTGAGCTCAAGCAATCCTCCTACCTTGGCCTCCTAGAGTGCTGAGATTATAGGAATAAGCCACTGCACACAGCCTATGATAATTATATATGGTAATTTTATAGCATTCCTTGAATATGCACAACACTTTTATAGTTTTCCTAGAGACAGAGCAAGGATTATTACACCATTTTACAGACTAGAAAACTGAGGCACAGAAAGGGCAAGGGACCTGCCCAGGATCTCATGGTTCGTTGGCTCCCAGCCAGAGCCGCTGGCACAGCCTCAGGAGGTGCACTACTTCCGGGCCTTATCCTCTCATCCCATGTGATTTTGACTCCCAGTCCCCAATATAACTGTCCTTCCACTCCAGGTTTGTAAAAACTCTGAGTACACATGACTTCTCCATGACTCTGGAGAACAGGACAACCTCAACCAGTTAATTTCCTTCCAGCCACAAGATCCTTCTCACTGGTAGTGCAGAGAGTCCCCAGAGCCCTAACGCTACACACTACCATCTGATCTACAATAGTTGTTTTATTCTAACACAAGTTCAACCTGATCGCTAGCTATGGTGACCTTTACCAAGACTTATATGTGCTGAGCCTCAGTTTCCTCTAAAAGATTCTTAATTCCTCCTCTGCTATGTTATTGCTCAGATCAGCTCTCACACAGGCAAAGGCCTGAAACCTACACTACTGCACATTAACTCTCTGGCTCAAGTGTGAGCTCTTGGAAGGTAGGAACCCTGTTTCCTCCACCCATGCACCCACACCTATGGCATGTAATATGTGCTCAATAAATACATGCTGAATGCATGATGAAAGGAAATGATATGGCCAAAGCAGCTCTGTCCTAGCCCTAACTGACCATGGTATTTCCTGAGTCATTTCCCAGGTCGAGGGGTAGGGACTCTGAGCAGGGATGAGCAGGGCCAGAAGGAATGGTTTCTGGGTCCTGGGAAATTGCCCTCCATCTGCGTAGAGTGGACCGCCTGCCATGGCTGTGATGAAGGCCAAGCTGGGAGGGCGGTGTTCTGGGAGTCCTGGATGTAATCCTGTTGACTCACAGACATAAATAATGCACTAGTATGTTCTCTCCTCACCACCCTGTCACACTAAGAATAGCACCGGCTACTCTTTCAGCGATTCCAAGGGGAAGAGGGCAGGACAGCAAGATAGGGACAAGCAGGGAAAGACGTCACTGGACTATGGACGATCAAGCACTCCCTCTCCAAACCCATAAAGCAGAGGAGCCTGGAGGGCAGAGCCGAAAGGGCCCTGAGAGGCCAACTGTCAGGAGTGCTCCAGGGGTGAGCAGATGGCAGCCGCCCCTCCACTAGCCTGCTTTATCCTTTCCTCCTCCTTTCTGACGTCCATCCTAATAAAGTTTGTGCCTCCAACTTACCCCTCCACACTCCTCCCCCTCCTTGTTCATGGGATGAATAAATAGAGAGTGGGTGGGTGCCCTCTTATGTGTTTATATGTAAAGCTTTAGAGAAGGAAAAATATGCTATAGATTTTCATTTGTCTTAGGTTTAAAAATAACTGACCTAGAACAGCGCTTCTCATCATTTAAAGTACATGGAAATTACTCAGGAATGTTGTCAAAATGCAGATTGTAATTCAGGAAGTCTGGGATGGGGCCTGGGACTCTGCACTTCTAACAAGCTTCTGGGTGATGCTGATACTGCATCCATGGGCCACACATTGAGTGCAGAAAAAGTAGAGTATTTATCTATCATAGAGATGGGGAAATTGATGCCCAGGGGGGGAAAGGGGTGTGCCCTAGAGCGTCCAGCAGAGCTGGGCTCAGAACGCAAGCCTCCCGCCTGCCAGCCCAGGGCTTTGGCTCCAGGGTTGGGGCAGGGTTGGTGCCTGGAATGGAACTGGGGACAGGCAGCTGTTACAGGCAGTGGAAGTAAGTCCAGGGGCGGCCTTCATTCAAACACAAGCTGACCCTCCTTTGTCCACAGACTCCCACAGGTAATAAAAGGAAGTAAGAACTCACCTGAACAGGGGCACTCAGCTTGAGTGACCGCAGCCTCCTGCCCAGGAACGCACTCTCACCAGCTTACATCTGAGGCCTGCTGGGCCTCCATAACCCTCCTTGAAGAAAGAAGGGAGAGATGGCCCCAGACTCTACATTCAGCCACCTCATGAAGTGGCTGGGGGGGCACGGATGGGGTCTGTCGATAGCACTATCAGGGTGGACATCCAAGGGAAAGACAAAAGGAAAAGAGGAAAGACCCGCCTCCCAGATCAGCACCAGCATGCTCCTCCTTCCTATGATCCGCCTCAAGCCCCTTCGCAGGCTCCAGGGCCTGTACCACCAGCCCCAACGCCCCCACCCCCGCGCTGCAGCTCCCGTCCTGGTGTCCTGGTGCTTCACCTCCCAGCCAGCGAGGCTCCAGCCGTGCTGACCCTCTTCCTAGTGCTCGGCCAGCCCAGCACTTTCTCCCCTCAGGGCCTCTGTACTGGCTGCTCCTTTTCCTAGAGCCCTTTCTTCCCTTGCCCCCTCGGCTGCCCCTTTCTGACCATACTTCTCATCCTTCAGGTCTGTTCACAGATCCCAAGGCCCTCAGAGGTCACATTCTCCTGTCACAACACCCTCTGCCTCTCCCCTAAACGCTCATCAGCTTTGTAATTCCATCAGGATTTGTTTTCATGTCAGTCTGCCTGTCCCTGCCGGGCAGGGACCTTGGCTATGTTCATGCCCCTGTGCCTCGGCCATAGCTGGGGCTCAATAAACAGTTGTTGACTAAGTAAAAGAGCAAATGCATGAAACACTGCTCACATCACAACTGCAAAGCCTCCTGCCTCCATGCTTCCACGTGACCTCACTCACCCGGAGTTGTACAGGATTGGGATTTGCACGATTATCTGGGCATCCGCCTCTGCTGTGCTGCACCCTAGCTGAGTGGCCATGGCAGGACACATCACCTCTCTGAGTGGGGTCTCCTGCACTGTCTGTCAGGTCTAAATGAGAGAAGAAATCTGGAAAGGAACTTTGATTGACAGCATTACTCTGTCAATGTCTGAGGCCCAGAGAGGGAAAGGGCTCATTCAAGGCCACATAGCCAGTGTGTGGGGATGCCAGACGCCCCTGGCACAGCTTAAACTCCACAGCTGAGCTTCAGGCCCACCCAAGCTCAGTAAGTGCACCATCTGCCTGGAGGCTGGGCAGGGATGGAGGAGGGAGAGGAGAGGGTGGATGGGAGCATTCAGCCTCAGGCCCAGAGCCAGGGTGTGGTGGGCGGGGCCCCCAGCAGGAGACCTGAGTGGGGCCTGGCAGCCGGGCACGGGGGAGCCAACTGGCTCGGGCTGGGTGGTGGCATGCTTGTTCTCTGTGCGCGTGACAGTCTATTTTTTAATCAGTACTCTCCCCATCCCCCAACTCCATGTGCCCTCCCAAAGGACCCCATATTGGGAATAATGTCCCGGCTGTGGAGGCTAGGACCACCTTAGGGATCCGTGGGAGGGTCCCCAACATCTCATCTTCCTATGGAGCCCACAAGAACTAAGCGGCCCAGAAGGCAGGACAGGAGGCTCAGGGATGAAACGTGTCCTCTGCCTGTGTGACCCTGGGCTGGTCCCTAAACACTCTGACCTCAGTTTCCCCTACCTGTACAACGGTGGCGGTGTGCCAGACTACATGGGAGTTTATTACAACTCAAGCACTTATGAGCCACTCAAGCTCCAAGGCACTAACCATGCCCACTCATCAGGCCCTGGCAAAGCCTTCCATGCCCACAGTGACTGCAGGGCACCCTTGATCCTCTCCGACCTACTCCCAGGGGAATAGAAAGGTTGAGCTGGTTCAAGGGCCAATCTCAGAGCCCTGGACCCTAGACCCAGTGAGGCTCCTCCTTCCAGGACCTCAGCTGCAGGGATAATGAGGATCAAAGATGAATGCTGTCTGTTCTGGGACAGGTGGCTTGTTTTTCTGAGCCCCTGGCACTCCATCTAGCGTGGGAGAGACCATGTTGTGAAGAAGTTAAGCACATAGTTTTTGGGGCCAGACTGCCTGCATTTGAATCTAGCCACTTACCAGATGTGTGACCTTGGAAGCTCACTTAACCAACCTATCTGTGCCTCAGTTTCCCACCTACAAATGCTAATAACAGTACTCACCTCATGGAGTTGTTGATGCATGAAGAACTTAAAGCACCCATGGTACATAGTAAATAACAGTAAACAATCATTTTTCAAGAACTGTGGCTTTTATCTTTCAAGCACTCTTAGACTCCAAGAGATTTTATTCTGGAGGATTACACACAAGGGTCTCAGGTTAGCCCACTCTCCTGTCCCAGGGGCTCACCCAGCCTGCCCTTCCTTGACCCTTGACACCATGATGTCAGCCCCTCCTGCTAGCCCCATGTTTTTGGTGACAAGCCAGTAAGGATCTTTGTCACACCCATGATCCCCTCAGATCCTTACTAGCCCATATCTCAGCAGTCAGAAGTGAAGCCTGTGGCCCAGAGGAAGCAAATGATTTGCCCAAGAACACCAGCCAGTCAGCTAAGAGCACAGGTTCAAGCATCCATTCCTGAAGCTCAGTCCAGGCATTTTCCGCTGTACTTGTGCCAATTCTCCCACCATCAAAACCTGTTCCTAGGCCAGTCATGGTAACTCGTGCCTGTAAGGCTGAGGCAGATGGATCACTTGAGCCCAGGAGTTCAAGACCAGCCTGGGCAACATAGTGAGACACTGTCTTTATAAAAAAAAATAATAATAATACAAAAAGTTAGCCAGGTGTGGTGGTGTCCGCCTGTGGTCCCAGCTACTTGGGAGGTGGGAGGATCACTTGAGCCCAGGAGGTCAAGGCTGCAGTGAGCCATAATCATGCCACTGTACCCCAGCCTGGGCAGCAGAGCAAGACTCTGTCTCAAACAAACAATCCAACCAACCAAACAAAAATACCTGTTCCTGGTCAAACATCAAAAAGTAACTTACAGTGAGATACAACTAGTCTTGAGCAAGAGCCCATCTCCTTAAGAAATTGCTATTCCTATTTTTTTGGCGGAGTCTCACTCTGTTGCCCAGGCTGGAGTGCAATGGCATGATCTCAGCTCACTGCAACCTCTGCCTCCTGGGTTCAGGCGATTCTCCTGCCTTAGCCTCCCGAGCAGCTGAGATTACAGGCGCGTGCCACCATTCCTGGTTAATTTTGTATTTTTAGTAGAGATGGGGTTTCACCATGCTGGCCAGGCTGGTCTCAAACGCCTGACCTCAGGTGATCCACCTGCCTTGGCCTCCCAAAGTGCTGGATTACAGGCGTGAGCCACCACATCTGACCGCTATTTTAACATGACAATACTTAAGTGGTAGCTCTTTTTTTTTTTTTTTTAATAGCATTTATCATCATCTAATTTTCAGAACAACAGTATACAATAGGGTCCATTATTGTTTCTATTTTATAGACGAGGAAACAAAAGCCCAGAGAGGTTACATAACATAGTTAAGATCTCCCAGCTAGCCAGGAAGGGAACCCAGAGGTCCAACCACAGAATCTGTGTATTAGCCACACATGAAGCATTCAGGAGTAGACTGAATTTTGTCCCACCCACAGCAACCCTAGGAGGCTGGACAGGGTAGGCTAGGGCAGGGTCTGCACAGTACTACACGACCCTGCCTCAGCAAGTGGAAAAGCTGAAGCTAGGCTGCTGGAATTTCAGGCAGCAGCAGCCAGTTGGTAGATTTCATTCCAGACAGAAGGCTTGTGTAAGCCTTTGGAATTACAGGGCCTGGAGGCGGCTTCCATGTTGACTCCTCCTCTAGCCACACTGGGTAGCAATTGAGCCCCAATATCCAGGGACAGTTCACAAAAGACTCTGGCCACACACACACACGCGCGCGTGCACGTGCACACACACAGAAACACACACACATGTGCACGTGCACACACACAGAAACACACACACACGTGTGCACGTGCACACACACAGAAACACACACACACACAGATACACACGCACACACACACGCCTAATTTAGCAGAGCCACTTTGCAGGCAGCCGCCCCTCTGACCGGATCTCAGGCGAAGCTCCTTTGGATCTGCAGTCTGAAGCCCCTGGGGATGCAACCAGCGCCTACCCTCCAGTCCCAGCCCCTGGTCCCAGTCCCTAGCCCCAGACCGTGACCATCTTCTGGGAAACCTTTGCTCCCAACCAAATTCTCCCCCGCCCCCGCTGCCCCATTCTTGCAGACTCCAGATGCAGATACACCTCCCCCAGGAAGCCTTGAGCATTGCTTCAAATAAGATTCAGGTCTCTGTTCCGAAGTCACCTCTGAGAGAGGACTTTCCTAATCACCAACCCATGGTAGCCCCCTAACTGCTCTCCATCTTAACAGCATGACTTATTTTTTTATGCCACTTTTGCCCATCTGAAATTATCTTGATGATTTATTTGCTCCCTTGCTTCTTTGCTATCTTCCCAATTAAAATGCAAGTGCCTTGAGGGCAGGGGCCTGTCTGTCTTATTCACTACTGCAACCCCAGTGTCTAAGCGCCCATCCCACCCCATTGCTAGCCAGGGACAGTGAGGCCCACAGAGAGAAAGGGATTTACCTAAGGTCAAATAGTAAGTGAGTGGGTAGCAGAGGTTGGCCTAGCACTACAGCCCAGGGCACTTGGCCTGTCTCCACCCCTCCTCAGTTGACCCTTAGCGGATCTATCCTGCCACTGCCTCTTCACTACAATGGGGACCAGAGCCTGCAGGGCGTCACCAATAGCACCCCCCTGTACTTCCCTGGGCCCACGGTGCCCTGATCTGGGCAGCCCTGCCTGCTTCCCCTCAGTCCCTCCCTTCCTGGCACCAGTAGCTCTGATGAGCTCATGTCTGGAAGCCTGGGAGCTGCCCTGAAGGAAAAGGTGCCTCCCAGGCCAGGCCAGGGGCCTGGAGGTGTGCTCAGCCTTGTGGGAGGGCAGCCCTGGCAGGTGGAAGGAGTGTGCTGACCCCTGCCCTGTCCACCTCCCAGAGCTGTGACGTGGGCTCAGGGAGACATATGTCAACCCTGGAAATAGGCTGTGACTAGGGGTGGAAAGAAGATGGAAGAAGGTTCCTCCCATGCTTCTCCTCTCTCTCCAGGTGCTCCATGGACACTCATGTCCCCAGCCACTTATCAAGGAAATGCTCTTTCCCAAGGAGAGGGAGCTCTGTTGCCTTCTACCCACAGAATCACTCTGTGCAAACCTCTTCCCCTCCTTGGCCTCAGTCTCCCCAATTCTAAAATCCGAGACTGGATAAAATGCCATGGAAGAACCCAGGGATGCACCAGGAACCAGGCGCCTGAATGCCACAGGTTTGGTTTGGTCGGTTTTTTTCCTACCTTAAGGGATGGGGAGTAGATAAGGGCAACAGCTGACTAGGGAGGAAGGAGTTAAAGTTCTCATGTAGCCATGTAAATGCTGGTTCCAACCACAGCTTAGTTTAGGTGTCAGTTGTGGGGTTGAGGGGAGCTGGCCCATGGCTTGCAAAGATGGGGCAGGCCTGGAAAGTGGGGGCTGCAAGCCAGAGTGGTAAACAACATTCCTGGGGGAAGTTTGAATATCAAGCTAGAGTGATCCTAGTCCATCCCCTTCGTACCGATGGAAAAACCGAGGATCAGAGAAGGGGAGGAACCAGCCCAAGATCTCCTAAGGAGACAGAGGAAGGGGATGCCCCACCTAGCAAACAGGGTTTTTCAACGCGTCGGAGGGGTTTTCAACTCCCATGAGAGATCTCATCTGACTGCCTGAGACAATATGGCAAGTAGTGGGGGAGCACATCAGTTTCACTTTGTGGCTGTGCCCCCCAACATGGAATGGGCCAGGCCTGGGCTTGGTGACAAGGCAGGCTGGCGCCAGCAAGGCTTCCAACCCCTTGCCCCAGAGTACCCTAGACCCCCATCAGCAGTTTCACTTCCACTTTCTAATGGACAGGGGGTAGGGCACCCTCTGACTACCCCTACAGCTACCACCAGCACTGCTGTCCACAATGCGATTTCCCCCTCAGGGGCCACCCTGCCACCCCTCTCACTGGAGGCTAAGAGAGCAAGGGTCTTGCTCCATGATCACATAACAAGTTGGTTTATTCCAGTGTCACCTGCCATTCAGAACAGGGTGGGGGATGGGGGATGGGGCACCTGCTGCTTCCCACTCAGCTCTTGTCCCTTCCAGACAACCTGGACCCCATGGATGGAGTTCCCTGGCCCCTTCCAGAATAAGCCCATAACTTGGGGTGATGGGGGGAGGAAAGGAGACCTTTTCCCAAGTCCTCAAAGAGGTGATGCCAGGGCTCTGGACAGTGCCCCTGATTCCACAGCGCAGTGGTTAGAAAGGTGCTGGGCCCTCCACTCACTTCACCTCTGAGGCCTCTCTCTCACCTTGGCAAGGAGGGCAATTGCAGAGGTGCTGTGAGGCGGGCACAGGGCAGTTTCCCCTCTCTCTGAAGGCACTGGGGAGAGGCCTCGATTTCCCCAGGTAGGGCTTGGGAGGGGTGGTCCCCAGGATGTGACTGCTCTGGCATCCTGTGTGCCCCACCGCCAGAGCCAGACCCCAGAGCCCGGTCGCCCCGCCCGCAGGGAGGAGTGAGGAGGCCCAGCACTGGCCGTTCCCGCTGCCCCCACGGCGCCCATGTTGGTCAACCCTGGGCAGAGCCCAACCCGCCGTTGTCCTGGGTCAAGTCGGTCCGACTTTTCCCTGAACGGGCTTGGGGACACAGACTCCGGGCTGTTGCCCACCTGTGAGCCTGGGGCTGCCTCGCCCTGATCCGCTTGCGGGGAGGGGCGCAAGGGCTGGAGCCCCCACGCAGCCCGGGAGGGTAGCTTCCCGGCGTCAGGGCGTCCTCCCCCTCCTTAGCTGCTCGAAAGCCTCGAGACCCCTCCAGCCCCCCACCTACAGATGGGGAAACTGAGGCCCAAAGTGTAGAAGCGACTTGGCCAAGGTCACCCCGCGTGCGAGTACTGGAGCCCAGATGTGCCACCTCCTCCTGGGCGGCGCCGGGAATAGCGCAGGTGGGAAGGGGCGAGGCTCGCGCGGTGCCCGCACCCCCGCCAGGCCAGCGCCCCTCACTCACCTCCAGCCGCTGCGCACGGTCCCCGAGCTCCCGGGCGCCGCCGCCTCGGCACACCTGGCCGCGTCCGTCAGCGCGCCCCGCCCCGAGGTCCCCGCCACCCCCGCCCCGCGCCAGGCCCAGGCTCCGCGCCCGACGCCCCCTCCTCGCCGCCGCCGCCGCCACCGCCTAGCGGGCTGCTCCGGGACCCCGGGCTGGGAGCCGGGAGCGCTGGGCGGGCGGGCGGGCGGGTGAGCCGTGCTCCTGCTGCCTGCTCCCCGGGGCCCTAGCGCCGCCCCGCCCCCCCCGCCCCGCCCAGCCCCGGGGGTGCGACTCACTCCCCCACCCGCTCAGCCTCCCGTCTCCAGGAGCGGCCCCCTCTCTTTCCTCTCGCTGTGCCTCACTCTCTGCTGCCTGGTTGTCTGTCTTTCCGTTTCCTTATCATTTTCTGTATCTGTAAGTCCGTCGGTCTGTCCTAAAATCCTATCTCCTTTGGATAGGAGGGAGACAGATTCTTTGTGTCCCCTTTTCTTTTCTCTAACCCACCCACTACCCACTTTGAAATCTGCCTTTGTGATTCTGTCCCCATAACTGGTACCACCTCCCACCCCACCTCTTCCTGGCTTTCCTTTCAGACCTGGGTGCTCAGGCCCGTCTTCCCCGCTATGTCTCAGCCCCG